TATCTTTCCTACTATAATAAAAGACCTAATACCCAAAATGTAGATTTGTTATGAAGTGACTAACTTATGTTTAAGATCCCACATGGAAGTCACATCACTGTCAGTACCGACTCATCGTACCGTGAAAATCGGTGACATGATGTTCAGCGCTTCTGAAGGACACATTTAAGCTGGAGGTAGAATAATATATGTAATGCGGATAGGGATTGGTCGTGGTGAATGGCCACGCCTCAAAGGCCGAGCTGTGCCATCCCAAACAATTTGTTCTCTGCGTTCACCATGTTTAACCTTCTACATATTGAATGGAAATCTCAGTAATGATGCTCTCGGCTTCAAACACCCAGTAGTTAGAAACTAATTCCTCTACAGACTCTCACATATTAGTACTAATCACTTATTTCCTTACATAAATGGTTTAAGTGGTTGTGGACGGAACAGAAGAATCTTTCGCTATAGAGCTTCCGTGTCTAGTAGCAGTGGATCACCGATGCCTCCAGGCAGGAACCTAGCTACATTGATGATAATAGGGGAAAAAAGAAGTTGGTAAGTGATAGTAAGATATTATCCTTAGTCCTTAGAAATAGATCAAGTTTCCTCTTAAAGGGCTTCTGGGAAGTCGCTGGGACTAGCCCAGCCGGCAGCGAATTCCAGCACTTGACAACTCTTAAGGAGCAGGAGTTGTGTCTACAGTCCATTCTGCTATGTTGTGTCTCCAGTTTCTAGGTGTTACCCCTTAGGTTTGTGTTGGAGCTGAACATAAGTAGGTGTTTAAGTGGATATCCAGAAGTGTTAGGGATACTGTAAGCCATTAGATGGTCACCTCTCAGATGCCTGTACTCTAATGGGTAAACGTTTAGTGATTGAAAGCGCTCTTCATAAGGCTTGACTTTGAATCCCTGAACTGATTTCGTGGCTCGCCGTTGGATACGTTCCAGAGTGTCATTATCCTATTGGAGTGAGGGAGGAAATACTATGTTTCCATACTCTAAATGGGGACGAATAAAACTGTTGAAGATTACATGGAAAGTTTTTCCGTCAAACTGGCCAAAAATTTGCTTCAATGTTACCAGTGCATGGTTTGCTCGAAAGGCATCTTTGTCACAGTTAGCGTGAATTGATATCCTTCAGAACGAGGCTTTCCTTACTTAATTTTCTATGTCAGCAGTACTAATATGAACAGTGTGATATCGACCAATTTACAATATACTTCATGGACCACAAAATCTCGAGCAAGTTAATGTAAACGCAGACATTTAGTTCAGTAGGACTACGTTGGCATAAGTTCCAAGGTGGTGGGCATGAGAGTCTGAAACTTGAACAGTTTAGATATGCTTTCCAACATTATAAGAATAAAATTTATCAGCATGAATAAAACATCTGGAAACGCAATAGTAATATCATGATATAAAAAATACATCTAATGTTACGACAAGAAACAGACTCACTCACTAGTTTGATGCACTAGACCACATTGAGCTCACCACTAAAGATTTCACCAATATTGGATGCTCGACAACCCTTATGTACGTAACATCCCCATAATCGAAGGTTGCAAAGCCAGTTGGATTGGAATTCAGTAGTGGAGTTTGAAGATACATTTGGAAGGTGGTCAACGTGTCGTGAAGTACATGTTCTAAGCTGGTTAGTTGTAACTGGGGATACGTTGAATAACGTAGCAATATCTCCAATATCTTTGTGCCTATCTTCCGTCCCCTTAGCAACGAATGAAGGTTATTTTTAAACTCCCGTCCTTATCATCGAGGAGAGCTTTGTTAAAAAGATGGTGGCACTTTTCCTCAGAAAGTTAATTTTATTGTTTCGATCGTAAATTGAGTACCAAAACTACTGTATCACTTTAACTGAGTTTATTTCACTTGAAAAATCTGCCAAGAGCATCGTTTTTTCTTAAGTCAATTATCATCACTACTTTAAGGTACATCTGTTCTTTGTACTTGTTTTCACTTCGTTTCTAGTAATCCACAGTTGTCCACTTATTCTGGTTATTAGCTTCTCTTGTTTCAAGGTAATGTTTGTGCCTAGTTTCTTTTGAAAACCTCCAATCGACGGTTAGACTGTGCAGAAAGCACAAGTGGCAACGCCCGCTCTGTATAGACCTTGTGGTAAGTGGCATACAGTGCGATTAGTGCAAAGGATGGTACTGTAGTGAACAAGAACACGAGTGGGGACAACCGAATGTATTTAACACAAAATTACAGAACTTGTTAATAAAATCTAACAACCACATAGTTAGTGCTCAATTCGCAAAATGTCCTTCAATTGTCCCAAAGTGACCCAGACTTCATTGTTCTTGTATTTTCATACAAATTGCATTCTGTTTCCAATCTTTACTGTTCGATCCTCTTGTCTCTCTGCTTCAGTTCACGACTAACACCACATACTACTTACGTCAATATAAGTAGCACACACCACAGTACTACGAAGTTCTCGACAGAGGATGATGCCGAGGCCACTTTAGATGGTGCATGAAGCCATTTAAACGGGCTTCGGATCTGCTACACAAATGCTCGGAGCTTGCATAATAAGCGATCGGACCTAGGAGTGCAGGAAGACTCTACCAAGCCGAATGTAATCGAAGTCACAGAAACTTGATGTAGTATTTAGACGAATTGACTTTAAGGTTTCACTTTGGCCAAAGTCAACAGGATTCAGAGGAGTAAGAGAGGAATAGTAGCTCTATTCATTAGAAATACTATGCCAATTACCATTATTGATAACGTATCGCAAGAGAGTGGGGCACGTGAATTAAATACTTCCGCTTGAAATGCAAAGAACAAGAACTGCTGATTGATTTGGTCTGCCTCAGTCCTAGCAGTCTGGTGGATGAGGTCTTGCTAGAAAGTCTCAATACTTGGTGACAAAGTGGTCGATGTTTAGCCCTTGGAGACTTCAATGCACATACACTCAGCATACTCGTAGACTGTACAATAAAGCCAGAATCCTCATTTGAAACAACTCGTAATGTACTTGGAAATTTGCATTTAAAAGTCACTGCTCCACACATCTCTTGGACTACACCAAGAGGTCCGCGAAACTCTTCATCAAGGTTCGGTAGGGAAGTTCACACTTTTATCCGTAAGATGAAGAGAATATGAGAGATGTTTAGATGGCTGGGTACCGACAAAAAATTTCAACACTGAGAAGCCCGAAATATTTGTCCCTCAACTCCCTCAAGCCTAGAAGATTACTCAAAGAAACAAATGTTGATAAATCTATAGAATGCCTTAAACGCTTATATTCGTACATAAACCAAAGGACTAAGGGAAGGGGAAATATTCCAGCATTGTGGAGAGACAGCAGTACTTTATCATTAGCGGAGGGTGATTATGGTAGAACTCGGGTATTCTCAAACTACTTTGACAATGTAATTACCCTAGAGATGTCCTCTACCCCAGATCATACAAACCCTCCACACATGTTGGACACGGTGACCACTAAAGAATTCGATGTCTTTGCTCTGCTAAAGAAGTTTGATGTAGACAGATCCATGGCACCCGATGAAATACATCCTAGGTTATCAAAATAACTAGTAACGTTTTAGTCTATCCGTATCCCAGGTTCGATTGTCAAAAGACTGGGAGAACGCTGTAGTAAGTCTCGTCTTCAAAAGAGGTACGAAACACAAACTAGTCTAAATAGCATGGCTGTTAAAATTTTAGGAAAGATTGTTCGGAAGAAGTTACGTATCTCGACGAAAACTGAATTCTTTCTGAAAAGCAGCACGGCTTTAGAACAGGTTATTTGTGTCTTACTAATTTACTAGTAACCTGTAAAAGTTGGTGCGCTCTTAAAGACGAAAAGTTATCTATAGACACAGTCTACATTGACTTCAGCAAAGCTTTTAACAAAGCTCCTCACAACAGGCTATTATAGAAGTAAATAAATAGCGGGGTTGGAGAGAATTTATTGTTATCGATACGAGACTTCCTAGTTGGACTCCAACACAGAGTACGATTGGACTCCAAGTTGTCTAGCTGGAAAACTGTGCTTATCAGAGTATTTCAGAGTACAGTTTTGAGGCTAGTGTTGTTTCTCTTGTGTGTAAATGACCTTCTCAGTCCCCTATAATCACCGGTTTTGTTATATACTGAAGATATCAAGTTATGGAGAGCAATAAAAAGTAAAGGTGATAATTTGTTGTTTCTAACTGACCTGCAGAAATTATCTGAATGGTCTCAAATTTGGCAGATGTAGAAAAGTGCATCCAAATGTATTGTGATGCACACTGATTATCGAGGTACAGATACATATAGAGTAAATAACATTAGGTTACCTTTTGTCCACACACACAATGACTTAGTAGTTGAAGATAGCACAGGTATTCAGTGTTTGACAACGCTTTAACCAGTAACACCTAATATATTTCATACCCACCAAGATAAATCAAAAGACAGAATCTGGGAGATTGGAAGATATATTTGATGACTCAATATATCGAGAATCGTCTGATCTAATATGGCTAGAGATTGCAGTAATGTTGAGCACGGCGTTCCCACTCGTGATCTGGTGCGGATGTATGACCGAACACCTTCAGCTAGGCGAGTCCATTAAAACATGCGGTCAGCATCCAATGTCTGAATCTTACAGAGCTATTTATTTTGGGGACTTATTTACCGCTACAGAGTCATTGTTAGCCAAGACTAAAAAACTACTGCATACTGACGTTCGATAACCGTTAAAAGCTTTAAAACCTTACGGTTAATGTGTAGGGCCTTTAGACATTTCGATGCCAAAAACGTTTTGGCTTTGTATACAGTTTTCGTGAGTCCTAAACAAAAGTACTACTTACAAGCGGCTAGTCTAGAAAGAGAGAATGAGCTTTTGAAGAGCTCCAAAGAACTGCAACTAAGCTGATTCCCGGTATAAAAAAGCTCCTATATAATGTTCCATCGGTTAAACTAAACTTATTATCATTGTCACGTAGAAGAAACAGAGGAAAGCTAAATGATTTACGCGCCCTCATTGGCCGTGACGGTACAGGCATGTACAACGGCAGAGGTTCTCCGCATAGATATCACTGGAACCCCTGCAGTCCTAGCCCAAATAGGGATCCTTTATACAGGGGAAGGTTTAACAGTCACTCTAGGTAATTAGGTACTCTGAATTCCAGCTTTTCCTGTCTGATTCGGCGTATAGGTTTCAGATAAATTGTGATTTCATATTATATTTTGCTCAGGTTCTAGTCATTTTTAAAATCCTTATTGACTAACCTGATTATCTGTTGCATCTTTATTTACGTCGTCGGACAAGAGTGATTGTTTGAACTCATAATGGGCTTGAAATAACTATCCAGTTAGAAATTAACCTAGTTAGCAATGACGAGGGACCAAGAGCGATCATATGGGGCCAAACCCAGTAAACGTCGAGTTTATTGTTGGTGCAAGACTGTTTCCCTGTCTGTGGGTTCCGTCTGTTGTATGGTGTTCGACCACCTTTTTGTGAAGTGGGTAGGAAAAGGTTCCACATGGTATTTCTTGACGAAAGTACTTCACAGTAGATAGAGGTGTCTGCTGAAGATATACTTAGTGAGTAAACTTACTGGGAGCCTTTTACTTGATTAATGTTAACTTGCTTGGAGCTTGTATTGAACTCGTATATTAACTATCTCTACCTATCATGGTTGACAGTTTCGTTGTTTCCATTCAGTTTTTTTTTGTGGATTCACTCTCAGGATTAACTTCCTCAAAATGACTTCAGTTTTCAGTAATAAGTATCGTTTGGCTGACGTGAAATATCCAAGTAGGAACTATTCTTGGAGACCTATTTTCCTAAGTGTCCATCTACAGAGTTGCTGTCCTTTAGGTCAGACGCCACTAAATTGTTATTTATACTTTGGATGGGCTCAATACTGTTGAAATCTGTGATAAAACAAGGGTTAGTCACCTTAATTCTCTTGTATTCCAGAAGTTTTGGGTATGGTATACCATGTATAGTGGACAAGTGACGATTGCCTTAAACGGGTAGTTTTCGTCTACCTGTACGGTTCATTCCAACAGTCACTGGTCTTATGTCTTGGCCTGGTTGCCCCTAAATTCTAAACTATTCTGGCCAGCATTACTTGTCTAAAGTAGGTGGTGGTTGAGCATACGTAACACATCCCTTAGCCATCGTAACACATGAAGACTTATAATCCCCTCAACTGGTTCCCAGTCTTTGACTAGTGTCCTACACCCAACCCTAGTACTGCTTTCTCGATTTTTTCACGATACATGAACAATATTATTAAGATATATGATCAATAAATCACAACCCACTACTGTCTTCTGATTTTAGAGGTCAAGTTTCTCATCGACAAAGTAAAACAGAGTGAACTATCACTCAGTATTATTACTTATTAGTTGGCAAATAAACGTATGGCTCACTCTACAAGTAATTTAAGCTGAAAAAAGCTAAACTTTCTAAGTCCGTGGAGATTTCGTCAGATATTGACCCACAAGCGTTGCTGGGACTTTCAAGATAAGTAAACTGGTAAACGCTTTCGACTGCTTTACTCGTTATGACCAACCTGGGTAATAAAGCCCTTGATCCTGAATAAATTCTGGTCAGCTAAGACAGATGGCTTTCAATTATTAGGTTGTATGTTTGGAGCTCACTATCTCTTTTGGTCCGAATTCTTGGATAGTGTTACTTAGTAGTTAAAGGACTTGCCATTCGGTCAGTAGATCATAGGTCCAAGTCCTCCTTTACCTTCTATTTTGGCAGCTTAGTGATATCATCATCCCTTATCCGAACAATGAAGCTCAAAATTGAGTACATAAACCTTGATTCGCCAAGTAATTTCCGCTGCTTAAAGACGAATAAAAAGAGCCCATATTTGACCATAGAATTGCATCATGCTAACCATTCATAGTAGCTGCATATATTTCAGCTTTTTTATCATCAAAGAAATTTTCAATTTTTTGTATAATTTCACAGATCACCAATCACTTCAACACCTCCATTTGGCAGCGGGAGATTTCCTCGATGTCCACAAGACTCTTTAGTTTGTTGGAGTCCACCCGTAGGTTGTCCATCTTATTATGTTGACAGTCCCCCCGCACGTTATGGTTCGCCGAATTTCAACCAACCATCTTATCACCGAACCTTTGATTCTCCCGCGAACTCATATGCCTCACACTCACCATTTATGTCTAACTGCAATCCATCTATGAATATCCACTCTGGTTCAATTTCTAGTAGTTCTTTGATATCGACTCAAGATGACTCGAGTTGGAAGTATGGCACTTCTCAGCATAATTCTTCAGTATTTGATATTAGTTCAAGATCACCACGAAATAGTAGCAGAAAATTCAATGAGAATAACCGTCCATTCAAGAATTGGATTGCATCCAGTTTATCAGACCCTTGGGAAGGAATGAAACCAGTCCGTACACCACATTCCGGTTATTTAGTTGATAAGCCGCCTGCACAAAGACATACTGTTTTGTTTGCTCCTCATGAACGTCGGAGAAGGTTAGAGGTAGATGATGATGAGGCAGTGACGATTAGTCCGACAAAGCAACTTCAAAGAGTTTGTTCTAATTAGAATTGTATTTTTAGCACTGCACAATCTATCTTATGTATTCACTATTTTATTGTATGCATGTGCAATACTTCATTTTGTATAAAAACTCTTTCTATGAAAAATAATGCCATAGGATTTTAAGTTCAGGAAAATCGTAGGACTTTGGTAACCGTTCACACATTTACTGTTTATTCAGTAAACGAGATTTCATTATCTGTGTTTGATCTGACTTATGTACTCGTCTTCGAGGTCACGGAGTAAATTCTAGTAAACCATACTATTTTTGTTGTTTGTGGCTCAAAGCTGAGTACATATATCTACACTCAGCAAATAAGTTTCGCCATTCTTTGTAAAGTGATTCTATAGATATTTAGCTCAACAGTTTGTTTTCAAGCTAGTGTTCTAAACAGTGTTTCCTATGTCTTTCCTTTTGCATAACATTACTATTAAGACTTCAAATTTTGTGCTAGTGTTGTCATACTGCTTATATTCTTGATGTCAGTTTAAGCACATGTACCTACCTTTTCTTTACAAATTATTCAATAAATTTAGATAATCATACCTTAACTTCGTATTTGTGTTAGGCTTTCTACGAATTAGTTAACCTTATAGCCCGGTCACCAATATGTGTTTACCAACTGTTGATTTGAATGTTTAAATTCCCTGTAAATCAAATGAAAACATCATAACCAGAACAATCTGATTGCATGATGATTTCAATATTAATTGTTTCTGGTTGGAAACTAATCTGAGTGCATCACACCTAAAGAAAGCCTGTATTCCATAAAATCATTTAATATCAAGAGAATATATTTTCGAAATGTCTATTACGACGAATGATTTTTAACCATAGTATGGATGATTCAGTGAAAACGTTCTCGCTCAAGTTCAAACAGCTAGAAATAATAGCTTCCTCTCCGTTGACTAGATGTGTAAGATTAATAGACTTTTTCTGCTTCTCGTTTATTAAGAAAGTTACTTACTTACGCCTGTTACTCCTAATGGAGCATAGGCCGCAGACCAGCATTCTCCAACCCACTCTGTCCTGGGCCTTCTTTTCTAGTTCCATCCAATTCTTGTTCATTCTTCTCATGTCTATCTCCATTTCCCGGCGTAATGTGTTCTTTGGTCTTCCTCTTTTCCTTTGGCCTTCAGGATTCCATGTGAGGGCTTGTCTTGTGACGCAGTTGGGTGCTTTCCTCAATGTGTGTCCTATCCACTTCCAGCGCTTCTTCCTGATTTCTTCCTCCGCTGGGATCTGGTTTGTTCTCTCCCACAGTACGTTGTTGCTAATAGTGTCCGGCCAACGGATCTGAAGTATTTTGCGTAGACAACTGTTAATAAACACCTGTATTTTCTGGATGATGGCTTTCGTAGTTCTCCAGGTTTCTGCCCCATACAGTAGAACTGTCTTGACATTTGTATTGAAAATCCTGACCTTGGTGTTGGTTGACAGTTGCTTTGAGTTCCAGATGTTCCTCAGTTGTAAATATGCTGCTCTTGCTTTGCCGATCCGCGCCTTCACATCTGCATCAGATCCACCCTGTTCATCAATGATGCTGCCCAAATATGTAAAGGTTTTTACATCTTCCAAATCTTCTCCGTCAATTGTGATTGGATTGGTGCATTCTGTGTTGTATCGGAGAATCTTGCTTTTCCCTTTGTGTATATTGAGACCTACTGCTGCTGAGGCTGCTGCCACACTGGTCGTCTTCTCCTGCATTTGTTGTTGCGTTTGGGATAGAAGGGCCAGATCATCTGCGAAGTCTAGATCGTCCAACTGCATCCTAGATGTCCATTGTATCCCGCGTTTCCCTTCAGACGTTGACGTCTTCATGATCCAGTCGATCACCAGGAGAAAGAGAAAGGGTGAGAGTAAGCAACCTTGCCTAACACCGGTCTTCACTTCGAACGACTTTGTCAACTGTCCTCCATGCACGATTTTGCAGTTTAATCCATCATATGAATTCTGTATGATATTGACTATCTTCTGAGGCACGCCGTAGTGTCGAAGAAGTTTCCATAGTGTTGTTCTGTCCACGCTATCAAATGCCTTTTCGTAGTCAATGAAGTTGATGTAGAGTGATGAATTCCATTCAATTGATTGTTCCACAATGATCCGTAGAGTTGCGATTTGGTCTGTACACGATCTATCCTTACGGAATCCTGCCTGTTGGTCACGAAGTTGGGCGTCTACGCAGTCCTTCATCCTGTTTAACAATACCCTGTTGAAGACTTTTCCCGGTATTGAGAGAAGAGTGATGCCCCTGTAGTTATCACAGTTGCTGAGATCGCCTTTCTTCGGTATTTTGATCAGAAGTCCTTCTTTCCAGTCTGTTGGTACTTGTTCCTCATCCCAAATCTTATTGAAGAGAATGTGGAGTATCCTTGCAGTTGCCGCTACGTCTGCTTTTAGTGCCTCTGCTGGACTGTTGTCTGGTCCTGCTGCTTTGCCACTCTTGATTTGTCTGATGGCCATGCTGATTTCTTCAATTGTTGGTGGGCCAACATTGATTGGGAGGTCCGTGGGTGCTGCTTCGATGTTGGGTGGGTTCAGTGGAGCTGGTCGATTCAAGAGTTCTTTGAAGTGTTCTACCCACCTGTTTTGTTGCTCTTCAATGTTGGTGATTACCTCGCCTTCCTTGCTTTTCACTGGTCGTTCTGGTTTGCGGCGATTTCCAGAGAGTTTCTTTGTCGTGTCATACAGTTGTCTCATGTTTCCTTCTCTTGCAGCCTTTTCCGCCGTCGTTGCTAAATCTTCCACATATTTACGTTTGTCGGTTCTGATGCTCCTCTTCACTTGTTTGTTTACTTCTGTGTATTCAGCTTGTGCCTTGGCTTTTTCTGCTCTTGTTCGACTGGTATTGATTGCTGCCTTCTTGTTCCTCCTTTCTTGAATCTTATCCAGTGTATCAACAGTGATCCATTCCTTGTGATGGTGCTTCTTGTGACCCAGGACCTCATGACATGTTGAAGTGATTGCCTCTTTGATCCCCTTCCAGTTGCTCTCCACAGTAGTTCCTTCTCCATTGAGTAGATCATGAAAGGCCTGGAACTTGTTGCTGAGGACTATCTTGAATTTGTTGAGTTTGTTAGTATCCTGAAGAAAGGCCGTATTGAACTTTTGTGATATTGTCCGCCCCGTTGTCCAGTGCTTCTTGAGTTTCAATTTCATCTTGGCGACCAGCAAGTGATGATCTGATGCTATATCAGCTCCTCTCTTGGTTCTCACGTCCTCTATAGTCCTCCTGAACGTTTTGTTGATGCAAATATGGTCGATTTGGTTTTGTGTAGTGTGATCCGGTGAAGTCCATGTGGTTTTGTGTATGCGTTTATGTGGGAATATGGTGCCGCCTATGACCAGTTTATTGAAGGCACATAGATTTGCAAATCTCTCACCATTTTCGTTCCTTTCTCCCAGTCCGTGTCGTCCCATGATGTCTTCATATCCAGTGTTGTCCGTTCCAACCTTGGCGTTGAAATCTCCCATCAGAATGGTCAGGTCCTTTGTTGGGCACTTCTCGACGATTGACTGCAGCCTATTGTAGAATTGATCTTTAGCGTCTTCATTGTAGTCGTTGGTAGGCGCATAGCATTGGATGATGTTCATTGAAATGCCCTCTTTCTTTGTTTTGAAGGAGGCTTTGATGATCCTTGGTCCATGAGATTCCCATCCTATAAGTGCATTTTGCGCTTGTTTGGACAGCATCAATGCAACTCCTTGTGTATGTGGTGCATTTTCTTCTTCATGGCCGGAGTATAACAGGAGCTCTCCTGTAGTTAGTCGTTGTTGTCCAACTTGTGTCCAATGTGTTTCACTGATCCCAAGTACCTCTAGGTTGTATCTTCTCATTTCTGCAGCAATTTGGAAGGCTCTCCCGGTGTCCCACATTGTACGAACATTCCATGTACCTAAATAAATGGTTGCTCTGGTTGTCAGAAGGGGCATCGGCCTCGTAACTTCCGAAGGAATTCGGCTTTCATCATGAGGCGTCATAATTCTTCTAAATGAAGACCTTCTGACTCCCAGGGCAGAGTTTAAAAGGTTTGAATAATTTTTTCTGGTTAGCGTTTTTTTAGCGAGTTAGTTTTCTACGGGATGGGGACGCTAACCCCATGCCCAACCCTCCTCCTTTATCCGGGCTTGGGACCGGCAGTAGCCCCCGGAGGGACTCCAGGCGGGGTTATTAAGAAAGTTGGTTAGACCATTTATATCTTAGTCTTTGGATACATGTTGAAAAAAACTGATTACTTTGTCAAATAACCTGCTCTTATTTACTAATTTGTTTATTGCTGGTTCTATTATTTCTGAAAGTAATTACACAAAATGTGAACTATATTTTTTTCTGAGTCAGCAATGATGAAAAATCTCAGTCTTCTTAGCATTATCTTGAAATAACGATTTCTCGGCTAAAGAACAGGACTGAACCTGGCAAATATCTTCCTGCCATTTATGTTGCCAGTCGAGGTCTGATGACTAAACGTGTATCTTCGTAATCGCTTGTTTAGTCATGGGTCATTTGGAGCGCACACAGACATACAAATTCATTCATTAGGATTTATGGTTAGATCAAGTGAGTAATAGTAAATTTTAAACCAGGTGCTCCGTACCACCAAATCGATCACTAAGTGAATAGTATTTCACATGAGTCAGTCTAATAAATGACGTATAACATCCAGTTATTGAAGTAATGTCTTCAAGAAACTATCTGAAAAAAATTAAAAAAAATTCGTTTGCAAATGTGGTCACTGGAATTACACAGAACCTCTTCTACTCTACTAGATCAAGTTACTGTAGATTGCGACTTAATAAGTGACTCAAGGTTTAAATAATATTAAATGAATGAATAAAATGGCGATCTGTAAGTGGAATACAATAGTACGATGTGATTGAATGATAACTACCCGAAATCCTGAATTATCAATTCAACTCCCAAAATGAACTGAGTTCAAAGACAAGAACATTCGCTAAAAGAATAGATATCTTATTTAATGAGGTAAAATGTTTATCTACAAAATATTAATATAAAAATAAATATGGTCATGTGTCATAAGTGGTTTGAGGATTCGCATTTTAATGTTAACTCACTGCATAATAAATTAGAACCTGACTGGTAGGCTTAGTTTGTTTTCATCTTATCACAAGGGAGCTATAAGCCTATTCTGATCGGTCACTCAGTAGCAGGCAACTTTTTGCCTGTCTATTCCTCAGTTCCAACCGAATCCTATCTACTAAGTAATCAATCAGTACAAATATCTCAGTCCTACAAAAGGTCGTAGCCTAAATAATTCAATGGCTACATCTTGGTCTGTGGCACATTGACACAGGTTCGAGTTCACTGGTGAATATCAGTTCCCTCATTATTGCGGGTACGTAATACTGATGAGTATCAACCAACCTTACACCTAAGCATAGGGTTTCCTATCAGTTACATCCAATCACTTAAGCTCCAAATAGGATAAGGTTCTGCACTATACCGGGAAATAAATTATTTAATGTCAAAAAATTTTAGTCTTGACCCTCTTGATTGACTATAAAACTAGGACATTGGAGACGTTATGCTACTTTTGTGAAAATCTTAATAAGTATAAACCTAGAATATTTGGAATATAACTACATTGAAATGTCTCTTATTAAGATTGTCAAGCACATGTATAATCACTTGCTAGTTATTCCTGTAAAGATAACCGTAAGAAGTGACTATATAGTTATAAGTGTGTGTATAAGATAGTGAACAAATAAATATTGATAAATAAGTGGAATTACGTGTGAGACTGTCGGTGCGGGTCGGACAACAGTTAGGGCTGGCTATGTCTTTGTAAAGTCTTAATATCGACGTTTATTGTCTATCTGAGACCCGTATTCAAGACTGGTGAAGTACTACGAATTCACTCTCCGTCTTTCGCTTCGAAAAGCTTGTTTTATGTGTGCTTATCCGGGGACCCTGTGGCATCGTCTGGTCTTGCTGGCGTTGGTGTCGCACTAAGCGCCAGAGCTGAGACAGCGCTAATCGATTGGATCCCCACTAACAGTCGGTTATGTGCTGTTAGATTAGAAAGTTCCATCAAAGTGAGAAGAAATTGGTGTGAGAAACGATGTATTTTCGTCATCTCCGCCTATTCCCCGACAGATTGCAGCCCAGATGCAGTCAACAATGAATTCTACCACCAGTTAACTGTTCTTCTCCAGAAAGTGCGTTCGACAGATATTGTAGTACTAGCCGGAGACTTGAATGCTCAGGTCGGGCGTCTAGGCACAGAAGAGAGTCGTTTAGGTGGCCGATGGGGACTTGTTGATCGCAGGACAGATAACTGAGACCGTCTACTACAACTGTGCACAGATCACAATCTGTTTCTGGCTACCACTAACTTTCGGCACATTCATCGCCGATGTGCCACCTGGCGTCCTCCCTCTGCGTCTCAAGCCTGGACCCAGATTGATCACGTCGCGACCAGCTACCGCTAGCGTGGTTGTGTACAAGACTGCCGCTCCTTTTGGAGTACCTATCTGGACTCTGATCATGCCCTGGTCCGCGTCAATCTTACCTTACTTTTCAGTGGCCAACGAAGTGACCGCCACCAAAGAATTGACGTCAGCGAGTTGCTTGCAACTAAGTATCGAACCGGGCTAGCGACCATTCCACCGAAAAGTATAGATGAGCATTGGTTGTAATTGCATGATACCATGAAAATGGCGAGTAAAGCCGCTTGCGAGACGTCCCACTTATAAGCATTGGGTTTCTTCTGGTTCCTTACAACTCATCGAAGCCCGTCGGTCTACTCCGGGTGACCATGAGTTTGACCACAAACGAAGGATGTTATGTAATGAAATCGGGCGAAGCTTGCGTAAGGACCGAGAAGCCTGGTGGTCGGAGCGTGCTAATGAGTTAAAAGCAGCAGCTGCATCTGGTAACTACCGGAAGCTCTTTCAACTCATCCGAGCCACTGGCAGCAAGAAGTCTGGTGTGAGTGAAACAATCTGCGAGGATGATGGGATGCCAATCACTAACATCCATCGACGTCTTGGACGATGGTCAGAATTTTTCGAAGGGCAGTTCAACTGGCCTGCTGCTCCGGCAACATCGGTCAGACTGTCCTGCCCTCCATGGCCGGTGACGACTGATTCACCAGTCGAGGCGGAAGTCCTCAAGGAACTCCAACTCTTGAAGCGCTACAAATCACCTGGCCCAGATGACTTACCTCCGGCTCTTTTTAAAGATGGTGGTGACTCTGGTTAAGGAAATGAATACGTTGTTTACAAAGGTTTGGGAGCTAGAGAGTGTTCCAACATCATGGAATGAGTCGATAGTTGTTTCTATCTTTAAAAAGGGTTCACGTCGTTCCTGTAACAACTATCGGGGGATAAGTTTACTTCCGATTGCATCCAAGCTATGGGCTTCTGTCATACTTCGTAGGTTGTTCACAACTCAAGAAAGTTTGACTAATGAGGAGTAGAATAGCTTTCATTCTGGTCGAGGATGTATTGATTATATGTCCACCCTCCGCCAAATGTTAGAACACCGTCACACTTGTCACAGACCAACAATCGTGGTGTTTCTTGACATCAGGGCAGCCTTCAACTCATTGGACAGGACTGTTATCTGGGATTGTCTATTAGAGAAGGATGTGCCTGAGAAGTTTATTAACATCCTAAAGACCCTATGTATAAGCACCTTGAGTAGAGTGAGGGCATACAACCACCTCTCTCCACTGTTCCATTCGAGGAGTGGGGTTAGGTAGGGTTGCCCAATCTCACGATTCCTCTTCAACTTTGCCATTGAAGATATTATGGAAACATCTCTGACCGTTGGCAAGTGCTTCGCACCTTCCAAGCGCAAAGTACTTCTACAAGACTGGCAGGATTCTAATCCTGCACTCACCCTGAATGGTGATCAGATATAAGTAGTCGAGAAGTTTGTGTATCTAGGTAGCTGCATAAGTGCTGGTGGTGGCGATGATGATCAATGCACGTATAGTGAAAGCCAAAGCGGCTTATGCCAATCTGGGCCATCTTTGATGCCTTCGTGATGTTAGTCTGGCTGTAAAATGTCGGATCTACAACGCGTCGGTGAGAGCAGTTTTGCTCTATGCTTGTGAAACCTGGTCTCTCCGAGTTGAGGACGTTAGACGACTTTCTGTGTTTGACCATCGTTGTCTCCGAAGGATTGCTGACATCCAGTGGCAACACCATGTTAGTAATGCAGAGGTTCGGCATCATGTGTTCGGGTACAGAGATGATAATGCAATCGGTGTCACCATCTTGAAACATCGACTTCGGTGGCTTGGACATGTTCTACGAATGTTGTCCCAGAGAATTCCACGTCGTGCATTATTTGCCGACTCTGGGAATGGTTGGAAGAAGCGGAGAGGTGGTCAGTGCATGACATGGTGTCGTGGAATGAAAGAAATCTGCAAAGGGCCGGCTTGTGTCAGTCCTTCACGACTCCCTGGTTGGGGTCCGAGAGATGGTACAATACAGTGGCTAGAGACGTTATCAGATATGGCTCGGAATAGAAGCCAGTGGTGATCCTGCTGTAACCTTCCTTTACTTTCTTCATAAAAAGTAGTTGTTTATTCCTTAACTGGAAGATTTCTTCTGATTGTACCTTTCCGTTTCCACCATTATTATTATTATTATTATTGTTATTATTATTATTATTATTATTATTATTATTACATACATCACACTATCCTTTTCTTTTCTTTTTTTTCTTATACGCACCTTACCTTCTTTTTTCTCTTCCCGTTCTCATTGTTTTGTGTGGCGCATATATATCTGATGCCTTCTTGTTCCAATATTTATGTGTTCAAATAAATAAATAAGTCCTGATTAGTATGTAATTAGGAGATTCCTCAAAGCAGCGAGTTTATGTAATGACATTCATCCTTCATAGAACGATTAAGTGCATCTGATAAACAACCATATCCACATACCAGAAGGGTTTCTGTGGATATTATAGTAATGGTTGAGATCATGAGTCAACTGAAGCTAGACCACCATGGAAAACCTGGATGCTCTGGACGGCCGTTTCGTCCTGTCGTGGGACTCCTCAGCAGTGTGCATTCACGATCCTGCCTCGCAAGATGCGAACTCAGGACCTATCAGTCTCGCGCGCGAGCGCTTAAACACTAGACCACTGGGCCCGGCATCCAACGGTGTTAATATCTAACTTCAACCAATCCATGAAGTTGAGCGACAACAGTGCATCCAGGTTTTCCATGGCGGTTTGGCTTCAATTGACTCATTATCTCAACCACCGAAACATCCACATATACAAAACAAGAAATGTGAAAATATCTTACTGTTTAGAGTTATTAATATCACTACGACTGATGAATGAAACATCATCTGAATAGGACGAAAAGTCAACAGATATATTATCAACTGTATTTTTATTTCTCAGCGTTAAAATAAAAATAAATTATCAGTAGAAGTAAAAACAATATTTTATTAGTTGTGCAGGTTTTTGAACTGACATTACAATAGCTCCTATTACAACAAGTATAATTATAATTAACAAATTTCTTTAAAAATTCTATTGATTCACACCGATCTGCACATCCTTTAGATGTTAAATGTGGACTGCCAATTGAAAGTGACTGATAAATTATATGAAAAGAAAACGAAACAAAACTGTTTTGATAAACATTAATACTACGAGATTGTGACGACGGACCACCGGTGAACTCGAGGAAGCTGTAAGAGGCTCATAAGGAGCCGAAGACGTTCCATCCAATCACCTGTCGGAAGAATGTTCTAGAATTCCAACGTGTAGCTTCCCCATTGGATAATGCTAATAACACCCTGTACGCGGATTGGAAGATTGTAATGATGATTTCGTTTCCACTAAAAACTATAAATACCTGATAATTTTGTACTGTGTTTGACACTGTTTGGAATAATATTCCTTTCGTTAGTCTTCTGTCTTCTTATTGCGACTTGGAAGGGTTTGGTGTTCCAGTGCTCAGTTATACGCGGTTGTATCAAGAAAATCAGCTTTTTCAAGATATAACAATTGGCGACGGGGTGGAGAAAAATTTTGAACCTTGTAATTGGACGAGATTCAGGTTAATTGTTTCGACCAATCAGCATCCAGATTGTCACCAGCGTCCTTGAGCAACATTGGTCATTATTCCTACAGTTAATTTTCATTGCAGGTGCTGAAAAAAAAATGACTACCTTTTCCGATCGATTACAGCTTCTACTTGAGCAACAACAGCAGTGCTTCAAAAATAGCCAGTTAAATTTTTTAGAAAATTTACGCACACTGTTGGTAAATGTTCCATGTTTCGGAGGTGCAACAGAAGTTGGTAAATTCATTTCTCATCTGCAGACTGAGCTGGAAAACAACTGCAGAACATATGAAGCTGTTTATAAAAGCCTCTGTGAATCCCGGACGACCAGTGATGTAAACGAGACAGTTATTCATGGTCCGCCCAGTTGTCCAGAAATGTCAAATTCCGAAACGTTCCCTGTCGTGGGTTCAAATCCCACTGTTCCTGAAACGTGTACAGACAGTGATGTACCCAGCTCACAGGAGGATCTCTTATTAAATGCTCATAAATTAATTGCAGTACCCGCCCACAACGGAACAGGGAACAAATCGTGCGGTACACTGAATCCAGCTGTTTCAAATGGTCCTCATCATTCAACAACAGGAGATTCTGACGAATCTTATTATCTAGATCTTTTTGTACCAGAAAATGTGTTAAATGCATTAAATGATGATCAGAAATCTAATACAATTTTGATAGATGTTGATTATCGCAGTGATCAACTGTTTACAAATGAGATTTTCAACAAATCCCGTGACAATGTTCCAGAAGAATCAAACGTTGGTGACCTCATATCAAGCGACATTGTTCCCCACTATTTAATCACTTTCAGTGACTCCCCTGTTCAATCTGACAATTATGTGTTAAATAAAGTCAAATTAATTCTAACTTGGGAATATGAGGACCCAACATTATTTCGTGGGGGAGGATGAACCCAGAAAATTTCAAAATCCGGATATCAACTCCGGATCTTCAAAAAAAAGGGGAGGTGTTGTGGATGCGCAGGAATAGACCAATAATTATCATGTTAAGTCCAATGGTGTCCTTGGACTTTAAATGGATATTTTCTATTTGTCGATATCTGTTCACTTGTTGTATATTGTACAAAATGTTGTTTTCTATTTTATGGTACGATGTGGTGTGCTTGATTGGTATATAAACAAAGTATGTTTGAAATATAATGATTCATATCTCCGAGGCTGTGACTTTTGTTCTCCACTCAACTGGGCTAGGACAGACAGCGGGGCAGGGCCAATCAGGGCACTAGGTCGTCCCTTACGTGTTTTCCGTGTCACTCTCACCGAATCGATCAATAAACGCTGCTTATCAAACCCTGCAGTCTCACAACTTAAATTCATAACAGAGATCAATTAACATGGAGTATTAAAATTTTACTATGGATATGAACATAGATGTATTATCATAAGCTGGTCTAAAACGAGGTTTGCCTCTCAGATTAACCAATTTAGAGTGTACTTCTCACCAGGAGTTAGTAAATGATGGACGTCAGATTTTGGCTGAGCGCTTATTATGTAACTTGAAGGTAGTGAATTTGACTCCGTATGTATTTCTGGGTGGGCACATCTGGAAAACCCCAAACTAGGAGGAAACGATTGTCCGACACTGCAGTTTTTCAGTGCTTAGTAGCTCTATATACCTCGTAATAAAAATGAATTTCAACTTAAATAAATCTAAAAAAAGTAACTTGCGCTAACCAACCCTGTTCGTTTGCTATTGACATACGGTAAACTTGGGATCAAAAAATAGTTGGTATCCCTGTTTTAGTAACTTATACCTGATCACAACAGATTTGATGTATTTTTCCCTCATATAGTTAGCATTGAGTCGTACTGATATGCAGTCACATCGTCTTTTCTCCGACAAAAAAATAGTGTGTATTCAGAAAGTTCAGGAGGATTTCTCCAAGTTGTGTTTATTTAAATATTAGTCGGAAGTCCTTAAGTTTACCAAGGTTCTAGAATACAACAAAAAGCTACACTATCTTACCTCTTAGTTATGTGGCATTAGTGACGAAATCAACAGAGTTTAGGCGTTTATATGTATTTTACTGCCGGTCTCATCAAGGTATAAGTGTTCTATGATAGAACAATTACTTAGAAAAATTAAGTTAAAATGTGGACTTTTCAGTAGAGAAATGACATCGGTAGATGATCTTCGCAATTGTAAACTACTAGGATATTTTAACCATGTAATATACATTCTTGCATTCCACCTCATGCAAACATGATTGAGAATAATGAGTGTATTAATATGCTACAAAATGTTTCAGTCTATTATTTAAGCAAACGATATTTGCTGCGACTTATGTATGAATCTGTAAACTGGAAATTTACGATCTATTGAGTAGCATTAATTTATATTTGGAGAACTTTCCTAAATGACAATACAGCTCACGACCATGGCCTAAGTTCTGTTCTGTAGTGAAATAAAATCAAATTACTGTACCAGGAAGTGGTCATCATATGCACTTTGTGAATAATCTGAACTAACATACAAACTGAATTTTACAATGACATTAAAAAACAGTATACCTAAAGGAAAAAAATGTTACTTTCATGTATCAAATACTTAATCACATTAGAATGATAAATTTATTTATAGGATGAGCTAAAGTCTTCTGATGATGTTGAAAGCTTCAACAAATATTAACTGTGATATTTGCATTTGTTTCAACAAGAAATTTTTCAAATCTGTAGATGGATAATTGATAGATGGTCCCTGTCAAGCAGAACCATCAAACTGTTGAAGTAATTAGGTGGTATTAGAGCATTTTTACTATTCATATCCTTGATAAAAATAATCACATAAGTTTACAGACAAAAATATGAAGTGGAATAATAACAGACCAACTTTCAGTACGTCACTACTTTTTAAAGTTTCCTAGACGTGAATAATCAATAACTAGAAAAACACACGACTTCGAAACTGAAATTAAATAGTAATCCTGTATTTATTGAAGTATAAACTGTTTCTTTTTAAAAGACAACAGTTCATCATACTTTATAATTGTGGAAAAATAAATGCTTTCTATTCTTTTAAACAAGTACACAAATAATCAATCCTACAAGTTATTAAGATTTATTAAACTACCCAGTTTTTTCAGTGAACTGTATGTAGCATAATTAAATCTAAATAACATCAAGATATCAACACTATCACCAATAATTCCGAATATGAATCCATATATAAATATACTGATATTCATTTTTGGTGGATTAAATTGTTTCACAAATGAAAGTTTTCATCAACCTGGTATGTATGTAACTGAGAAAAGCAAACTCACTTTAATCGTGAGTTTCTAAAGATGGTCTAACATTGTATTTCTAGAGTTCATCAGTAATTTGATTGCCCTATAACTCAGTGCTAGTAAAGACTAGTTAATTCATTTAAGTTCATTATATTCCGTTGCTTGTTGTCTTTGTTTCAATGTAAAATTAGTACCCTGGGATCTCGATTAATACTGTCTGTTATTAAACATCATGACACCGATCAATGTCAGGTGGTACTTTGGGATTATAACATTCTACTTTATTAAATTAATATTTAGAATGTTAAAGAGTTACATTGTGAAAATTAGAACAACACATATAGCGAACAATTGTTCCCAATTAGATCGTCATCAGGCTTTACTCTAATATTCACAGATTGGAATCATGAGTCAGTTGAAGCTAGACCACCATTGAAAACCTGGAAGCACTGGACGGCCGTTTCGTCCTAGTATGGGACTCCTCAGCAGTGTGCATCCACGACCCCGCACCACGCGGGGCTCGAACCCAGGACCTACTAGCTTCGCGCGCGAGCACTTAACCATTAGACCACTGAGCCGGTATCCAACGGTGTTAATGTCTAACTTCAACCAATCCACGAAGTTGCGCCACCATATACCATTGTCTTCAGTGAGCTGATATCTCACAACAGACCTGGTTGTACTCCACTGGTAACGGCTTCCCACTAGAACTCCAGGAGTATCTCTTGAAGTCAGTCACTAGTGAGCAGATGATTATTATCAGAAGGGTTTGTGGAGATTTTTAGAAATTTTCACAGATTGAAATCATGAGTCAGTTGAAGCTAGACCATGAATATATGAAAATGTTAAACCAATCAAGGCAATATGGGTTAATAATCACAATGAAATAGAATGGGTCACTACACATAATAGGTAAAAATACAAGTTTATAGTAGGAAGACAGGTGTTCTGATAGTAGTAAGAATAATAAAATACGATAACAAAAGTCTTATCAACAGTTAGACGTTGGAACATGGGTAAACAGACTTTGAATAGTCGTCACAAAACATTAAAATCATTACGTAATAAGAAGTGTGTAAATAATTAGATAGTGAAGAATACAAGCGGAAAATTACAAACAAATAATGGATGTGACAATAGGGTTAATGATAACAAAATAGAAAAAAGTGAATAAATAATAATAAAAATTAAAAAAAATCGTTAGTTAAGTTATAAATGGCCATGGAAGGGATAGTGGGGTTACGAATTTCTTCTGTACACATAAAATAGGTTGTATGTACGAATTCCTATGGCTTCAGCTATATGTAGGAGGCGGGAACGAACTCCGTTGCGAAATGATGGAGGTATACGATAGATCACTTGAAATGATTTTGACTTATCTACAGCATGACCGCTATCAACAAGATGTGCCAAGATAGAACTGCGTACTGTTTTTATCTGGCCCTTTATAAACCAGATGGTAGATGTTCATTCATTCGTTGGTTAAGTTGCCTGGTAGTACGCCCGATATAGCTATCTCCACAGGAGCAGCTGAATTTGTAAATGCACATTGGAGAGGCCAACTCAGGTAACTTATCCTTCGTTTGGTAAACATCGCTAGTCGACAAGAGAAAGTCAACTCAGGATTGGCTGCGTAGAATGTCCTGCTGATTACTTTCGTTAACCTATATTTCAGAGTATCACTAGCCACATCCCCGTTGAATTGTAGTTTCATGTATAAAGGTTTCTTACGAACAGTTGAAATCTCCAACGATAACGATCTAATTGAAAACAATTGTTCGCTTATATGTGTTGTTCTAAATTAATATTTCACTATCATTTTAGAACATGAGAGATGATTTTTTCAATATAACGTGTTAAGTTTTTCTTTTTCAACTCTTGGCAAGTCACTTGATTTTAAATTTTTGCTATGTTTCATAATTCATCTTTAAAAGTGTTAATAATTTGTTTATACTGAACTAAAATTAATTTTTTAAATTAATATTTAGAATGAGAACTCAAATAATTTTATGTATACTCTCTACACTTACCACACACCATTTACAGTGATCTCTGATGCTAACTTCAGGAGAAGAACGATTGAATGGAAATGGGCACAATCCACATTCATAACATTTGGCTGAAAAAGCTGAAATGAATGGGTAGGAAATACAATCATAATGACATTAATGAGCGGTTGTTTTTTGAGTTTGTTTATGTGTGTTATACCGCTTTTGCAAACAAAATTACCCAATTTAACCAACATAAATACGTGAATTTTTCCGGATTTATTTATTGTGAGTAACTCTCACTGTTAGGCAACAAAATATTATCATTTTTAACCTTTACAATATGATTGTGAGTTCATGATTACAAAACTCCCAGTCATATTGGATCTCCTATGACCATGTTTGTATTTAAAAACAGTTACTACTCAAAGAAAATTTAAGATTATTTTATTCATAATTAATAGAAAGTTAGGCACCCTTTATTAGTTGCTCTCCTCTCTTTTATAGTCAAATTTTTAAAAAGAATAGAAATTACAACGATAATGATTTCATTTTAGTACACTAAACACTATGAACGAGAAGTAAACATTTACTGGTCTATTTACTTTAATAGAAACAACTAAAGATTGAATGAATCATAAGATAATACTAAATTTATTTAGTAAGAACAAGTAGAAAGTTTTATTCATAAGTTTATTTCTTGTTGGCTTTGCTAAAATAGGTTGATCATTACTGAATAAATTGGTTCTATGGTCTTTCAGTTCATGATAAATACAATCTTTGAAGTAAATAAATTTTCATAGACGATTTCAGGACGAAATCTTAATGTGGTAGTCAAATGAAGTTATCTGAGATTGAAGTTTGAATAGCTTAGGTATTTGTTAACATTTTCATACTAAAAACAAATCACAAAGTCGAACTGGATAGAAACAGAAATATACTAGCAAAAAGACAAGGGAAAATCAATAACATAAAGAAGTAGTTACGTTTAACTTCTAAAAGAAAGTAAAAAACTGAATTGCCATTCATATTAATGATTTCAGATCATACCTTATGAAAACTCTAACAATTGTGTTTGAACATCCCATAGACTTCATACAGAAAAGGAGAAGATACTGTATATCTTAAACGAACAGAAAGAAATGAATAGTTCATAAGTCCAAAAATTGATTGAAAATAACTTCAACGAGTGTGATATTCATGGTATCATTAGTTTTCTGACATATTAGATCGTTTTTTTTCGAAAATGATAATACGGTATTACTGAACCATACAGTTTACTCATTTTACAACTCTACTGTTTTTGAACAAAGTAACTAGCTTGATTACCTTCCACAGATAACAGAAATATCTACGTCTATTTTCAAATTATATCTCCAACTATTTAAATTTCTGTGAACATGACGTCGTCAACATGGCAAGAAGCAGTGTCTCATTTGGTCAATCTAGAACAATAATATAAAGAATAAGTAAATGAAGATAGCGAAATCAAACCAAAGATAAAATGTATTGTGATAATGAAAGAATTCCCAAATGAATGTAAAATCCAGTCACTTGAAGCTATCAATCAATACCGTCGTATCACATATATTTGGTTAGTTTGATCAAAGTAACGATAAGAAGATTAATAAAAGGCAAACAAAATTCCAATTACACTAAATAAAATTCTATAGATGAAATTTTCTACTGGAAATTAGTTTATAATCTTATTCAGTGAAATTGATTCATTAAATCAACAGTATGTTCTTATTGTTTGGTCATAAAATTTTCATCACGATCTGATAGACTGTCATACATCAGAAACATAGAATTCTCAGTGGAAAGAGAAATCACTATCATATTCCACATTTACATAGTCTGTTAACATTGACTTTATATTCCCCCAATGCACACTGTAAACGTCTTTACAAATTCCAGTAAAATTAGGAATACATGCTACCAAATCAAACCACCTTAGTTATTATTGTAGTAAACAATTCAATTGACATGTTACTTTCAATAACAATACATATATTTGCATAATTCAAATAATAATAGAAACGTTACTGAATGGAATAATCACTTATCAACATTTTCAAACTCACTGTAATCTGTATTCACTACAAACACCAATATCATCAATAAAATCTCTATGTTACTTTCCATGATACTAAACAATTAGAAACACACTTATCATATTTCAACTGTTCAACACTTAAATATGGATTTTCTATCATAATTTGTAAATAAAAATGATTTGCTGAATTTGTGGATCAAATTATTAATTTGTTATTTGAAGTTTATTAATTGGTTGAAAATGAATCACTTTTATGTATCTTATTAATCAATGTCGATCATGTATGAGCTAACAAATCTTAGCTACATGAGGTGAGGCTTGAGAATAACAATTTTAGAAAGAGAAAAACAATTGCCACCTCATATTAATGACTCTTTTAAAAATTATTTTCAATCTATTTAGTTCCAAACAAGACTGAACACCAAAACATGTGTAAATTGACGTTAGGCTTTGATGAATACTTTATTCAATTTTATGCAATCGTATACAAGAAAACAATTGTAGTGAAAAGTTTTCATTCTAGAAAAATGTATCATAAAATTGTTAACATGTGATTGAAGCAATTTTTGGTTGAAAGGGGGAAACTAGACCAATTAGTTATTCTACAAATAAAACTATTGTTAATGTTAGAGTAATATGTGCTACGCGCTTTAGTCTCTAGATTCACCAAATAATTAAGATGACTACAATTAAATGATAATTTAGTGAACAACTCATTATACTTTTGATTCAAATCATTAAGTCAATCAAGTTAGATCAGAAGTTGAGTTTATTAAATTATTGAGGGCAATCGATGAGAACTCGCAAATTTATGTTTCTTGCCGTTTGGCATTCATTAACAAATAATATCTGTCAATATTGTTTGGTGGGATAACAATTCAAATGTGAAATGACATGTTATGAACTGTTTACTAAGACACATCTTGATAATTTTCGTTTGTTTACGTAATCATATTGGTTTGTTCAGTGATTGAATTGTATGTTAGTTGACAATACTATTTGAATGATCAAAGTAAGCAAAGTTATGATGAAAATGTTGAGAAAGATTTCCAACTAATTTGGATTCTTTTGATGTTACATCATCTGAACTACTTAGTCTAGTTGAAAACTTTTCATCGTTGTTCAAAACAATGCCGTTAGCTCCTAAGTCATGTCGGGAAAATGATGTAAGGATAGCTATCATATATTACATCTCCATTAAAGTATACATGGTTTTATTTTCTCTCGCTCAATCACAATAAATTCAACGAAATAAGGAAAGCCACTTAAAAGAATATGGCATATTCTAACTAGCAGAATTAAGTCCTATTCAAAACTCAACCTTAATTAGATTGAAATACAGAAAATCAATAACAATGTTCTGTTGCATTTCTACGTTATACAAAAATCCCAAAAATCAAAAGTTCCTCTATGTGCAAGCATATTATTTTTACGGGAATTCCAGAAGATAATTTGTCGGATCGAGAAATTTACGAGACCAATCCATCAAACCTTCTACACAAATCAGGATTTTCGAATTCTTATTAATAAACTAGTGATATCCTTTAAAATTAGGGATTTAATTACTTAAGGCGAAAAGCAACTAAAATATCAGAATTCAACTGAGATAATCAGTTTACTTTGTATAAAGCACTTTATTTCAGTGATTAGGTATGCGAACGGGTAGAATTTACTTGGTTGAGATCCCTAATACCTGGAGTGATTGAAGAATCGGTGAAATATAAGGGCTAAAAGCCCTTGTTTTGTTAGTGATTAAACTGAACATTTAGATTCACTGTATGATCGACATTATGATCATCGCCCGAAAGATGAGCTGGAATACGCTAAGAGGTTTCCTGACCATATCTTCATATACATGAAACCCATTGAAGTGACGTTTAAAATACAGCTATCAGTAGGATCAAGGAGCGCATATTTCGTCACATTCAGAACTCGTCACACTGAGGCTCGAACGCAGTACATAGTACTTCAGACCGAAGGCTCTGGGTTCGAATCCCGCGAGCGGGATCGTGGATACGCGCAGCTGAGGAGTCCCATAATAAGACGAAACGGTCGTTCAGTGCTTCCAGGTTTTCAATGGTGGTCTAACATCATTCGGTTCATGATCTCATTCAAGAATATTGGAACGAATCGGGCACCGAGTATAAAAATACACTATATAGGAAAACTATATTTGAAATAATCTCAGCAATTGAAATTTAAGTAATTCCAACGTTTCGTTCAGTAAACTTGACTGGACTTCTTCACGGTAATAATCAAAATCCACATTATCGAAGAATATATAATGTTTAACAATCAAATCAAATCTATACTGTGCTAATCCAGTCGTATTAAAATGTTGATTTTAGTAAGTAGGATAACATGAGTCAGTTATTTGCGAATCACGTGAAGAGTACTCAGTGTGAAGATAATTGAATGAATTATTGTGTATGGGTGTATGTGTAAGATTATGTTACTAAGAGTTGATATTATGTGTTATATGTGTTTATATAGAGAAAATAAAAGTGAAAGTTGATGCTGTTTTGAACAGTCAATGTATATGTAAAATGAGAACCATAAAATACATTAATGTAGTGCTAAAATATCCCAGTTATTTTTGTCAGAATAAAGATGCATGTGAAGTAAAAAGGTGGGATAGACATAGGGTCTAATAACTTGTCACTGAACATTTGTCAAGTGGTTGCTAATTGAATACCATCCCCTCTGTTCAGGATGTTCTTATTAGCCCATATATAACGCTCATGCTGTCGATAATTCTTTATATGTGCCAAAACCTTTCTGAAGTATCTTGGTCCTCTCGTTTGGTCCCATTTCGTTTAATGATGATAAAAAGTGTTAAGAATGACTGAAAATAAGTGTTTTCAGGAAATCGACACACTCTGAGAGATGCTTAGATTACGGTTAGGATAACGCGTATTGTATGAAAGTCACAGTTGCAAAAAATTTAATTAAGAGGAAAGTTAGTCTCAGTATAGAGACCGAAGACCAATAGGATAAAATTGAATAGAGCTTTGTCTACATAAAATCCTTGTGATTAGTAATATGTAAGTCAAAAAACTCAGTACCTAAAGGAGGTGAGTAGAATGTAATTTACAAAGTTCACTTTCATAACACGAAAAACAGTACATCAGACAATATGAATGTTAACTAGCTGCCAGATATCAAAACATATCTCAGCATGCGGAACAATCATTACCAAGATTTCGATTGTAAAAATTTTTTGAATCTTATGCAGAAGTGGAGCGAAGAAGATCAAATGATTCTTAAGAGTACTACTCTAATGTTATTTAGAAGTCAATTGACATACGGGGATTAACGTATTCTATCAGTTAATGAAAAATTGGTAAGTAAATATTAGGTCAGTAAATAGGCTGTAGGAAAAAATTATCAAGATCCTTATCCAGACAGTGACAAGATAGTTACTACAAATAATTAATCATATTCTTCACTGATAGGTTAAATAATTAGCTCTTAGTGTTTATATTCTAAGAATTCTTCTTTTTTTGAAGTTAGTACTAATGACTTCTGTGAAAATAATAGTAAGAACTTTACAATCAAATCATCAAACTTTAGATAAGTAATACGATCTTGATCAATCCTATTTACAATTGTCTATTGATGAAGATTTTGGAAAGTAGAACTTTGTAAATTGAATAAATTTATATGTTGAGAATCTTTTCTAAATGTAAATTTATAAATTCTTCAATGATCAGTGGTATTACATTTTCAAAAATAAATTTTACATTAGTTAACTTTTAATAACAGAAAAATCAAAAATCAAATTTAAATTAAGTACTTTACTAGATCAGAAATATGATCCCGGTTTACATGAAGATCCTTTGACTGATGCCTGTGAATAGCCTTACGCGTCAAGATTGACATATCTGTATGAAATGAGTTTCCATCATTGGGAGTGAACGAGTTCATAACGATTGATTGTGTTTTAGGTGAAGTTTGTTAGGACAGCATTTATTTTAGCGATTTCGTACGACAAATAAACTGTTTTTTGCCGACTAGGGTTTAAAGCAACGCTATTGTACTACAACAAATTACTACGTTAGCAATATTTTCTGTAATAATTGGTAGCCAGCTTGCTTATCAGTATCAGACTTGAATGATGGCACAACTTAATAGTTATTAAAATACTATATATATCAGAAACAGTGAGTGGACTTGCGATCATCAAATAGATATCTAGAGAAAGTAAATTAGTAAGTCGATCTCAAGAAAACATCAACTAAATTGTTTCACATCTAAACTAAATTCGTAGTTACTTGATCTCATGTCATGTCTTATTGAATGATAAATCAGAGTGTACACTGAGTATTGCCACAAGAATAAGGTAGGCATTACAATGAATCGTTTGAAATTCCACAACATTTAGAATGTCAACCGTCTACATGGAATTCGTTTAGCGAGTTGTGAGTCATGTGCCTTCACATATTTAGGAAATTCTATATTGTATTTGGTGTTCGGTATTTTCTCACAATAATCTACAGTTCAAACAACAAATTAAACAGAAACAAATTGGTGGTCGAAGAAAACAATATCTAATTGTTTTCGTTGTAAAGAAACACATGAGAAGCAATTCACACAACAAAAATAAGTCAACAACTATTTGTTAGTGAACATCACATGTTGACAAAGATTGAGTGTGGTTTCGATTCAGTAAAAGTTTGAGTTGACAATTCAAGTTTTCAAATGGTATCTAATTCGTTAAGGCATTCGTCAATTTTATTAACAACAAGCTTTCAACAATTACAAAGGGTACGCCAGAAAAACATGAAGTCAATAATGTCGCGGCTTTTTTTCAGCTGCAAACAGCCTTGAAATATCACGGATTATCTAAGATAAATCAACATACTATGTTTTACATAAGTGAAGGTTAGAAACGGGAGGATCAATAAAAATTCTTTCAAGATTGAGTATTTAGGTTTTAACTGCTATGACAATTTAAGCATAAACATCATCCATCAACATATTGATCATTTCTACAATTTGTTTTTAAGATTTATGATTATGTTTACATTTACACATAGGTGGCTATGAACTGGAAAACTATCTTATCACATTATTAAAACCTAGTTTATCAAATATATTATGACTGAAACTTAGTTTATACCACAGAAGAGTTGGAAATTGTAAAATCTTGAGAATCACACAAAATGAAGGTAATAGTGTAGCGAAGGAGAACACAGGTGAAGACAACCGAATTATAT